AGATACATTGAAAACCAACATTTCAAACATCTAATCCACATTCTATATTTGACCTAGCCTCCAGTGACTCCGGTGACTCCATCGGTCCACCCCATGTTGAGCCTGGTGTATCTTGGATGATGGTGTTCAGTCCAGCCATCACGGTCCTCTCCACCTTCCTTTGCCTGACTTTTGTTTATCTCTGCAGTCAGAATGCAGGTAAATACACTACAATCACTTTTTACCTGTTAAGTATAGACATTATGAATCGACTTAAATACAAATGAATCATATTGATTGTGATGGATCATTGAATGAATGAAGTCGTTGTCTAACAAGAAACCTTTTATTTATGATTCTACAGATGAAAAAGATCAAATGACTGAGAGAAGACCTGACATGGGAGAGGAAAGTACAGTGAATCAGGTAAGGACTTTCTTTGGTATTTTCATGGTCTCAGAACCATTAGACATCTTTGCAGCAGTAGAGACTCTGTACTAATGACACTCATGTTACTGTGTCTGATTACCTTTCAGGATGAAGACGCATGTTTCACCAGAGTTGTGTTCTTGTGTGTCGATGGACGGAACGAATAGATTGGCTTTGTATGAGCGGACATCACACAAGCTCCACTTCAAACTTCTCACAAAGTCTTTAGCGTCCGAGTTTAAAGACCTGTTATATTTGTACACAGTGATGATGCGTTTTGGGGGCGGAGTCAAAATGGTGTCAGAAAGTCAGCTAGTGGTGTTGAATTAATTGTTTGTTTGTTTGTTTTCTGGCTTCTTGCCTTCACTTGATAAGACGGTGTATAGAGTAGTAAACAGGAAAGAGAGAGGGGGGAATGACATGTGGTAATGGAACCACAGGCCGGACCTGAACCACCCGCCCAGAGGACCAGAGCTTCCAAACATTCGGGCAACCCAACCAGCAGGTCAGCTGTGGTCATGAATTAACAATTGGGTCTTCGGCAGATGTTCAGCAGAAGCAGCTTTTGAGGACCCTTGTTTACTATCACAATGACGTTAATCATCCTACTACGACGCTCGATGGCCGATTAGGATCCAATTTGTCAATGTCTTCAGAGACATAAACATCAACAAAACAGATATTTTCAACAAGTAAACAAGTAAACAAGTATCGTTATTATAGCAAAGATTACTTTGACACGACTAAAAGTGACAGCAAGAGACCACTGCCAGGCTTAGAACTGTGCAACCCAATACATGGCCTTCCTGGGCACCCACAGTGCTGCACTTTCAGGAGGAAGACTCAGATTTCATTTTAACTAGTTCACCACAATGAATTAATTTTTTTAACATTAATCCCGTTTTAGTTTGCATACTGTTTCCAATTTATTCATCATGTGTAACTATGTTGTAACCATTACTAATGTACATGTATTCTTCCTTTATGTTCACCATCTATTTGTAATAAAGATTCACATTAAGCCAAGAACTTTGTTGGTTTGTTTCTGTTGAAAGGTCGAGCAGATCTAAGAAAGGCCGAACCCCCAAGGGACCCACACAGAAAAAAAGTGATAGGCTAAGATTGATGTCAAAAATCAACAAAAATTAATTCCAATTTATTCAGTGAGAACCTTAAGTCGAGGTGTGGCTGACTAAGGCAGCCTGATGTTTTTCAGTGAGGAAACATGAATTTTTTACACAGTTTGGGTAAAATATGGTAAAATCTTCTGGAGGTTCAAAAGATTTGCAAATGTAGAAATACACCGCAAGAAAAGGTGGTCATTGTTGCTTTAAGTTAGGATGAACCCTGTTTGTGCAAGCCTCCATGGGTCCTTCCCATGCAATCTTTCCCCAGAAATATCTTAAATTGACTTGAGCTTGCATAGCACTTTTCTATTCTTCAGTCTACTCAAAGCACTTTTACACCGCAGACGAAGTAGCTGGAGCAACTTTGGCTTGAGTGTCTTGCTTAAGGACATATCAGACATGTTGCCCCAAGCTTTACTCTTTTTCCCCACCGTAGGGGCGGCCATAAATATTGAATCACACCATCAAATGCCAACATTTATATAGAGGAGAGGAAATATGCCTGAGCTGTGTATAAGGATACACATGTTCAGTTCAGGCTGCGTAGGTTTTATGTGCCATGAAACAAACATGTTTTAAATGTATAAGAACACAAAAATCCTACAAGTGGTTTTTCAGGCATTGTCTGAGAAGGCTAAAATGTTGTTTTTTATGGTCGGAAAATCTGTTGAAGATGAGTTGGCAACTTAAGAAGCTCATGTGTGTCATTTTTTGGACAGCGACATATACTGCAGTCACAGTTTAAGTGTTGTTTGAACTCTTTCAACTTTCTTTCAGCCTCCACTATGTACTGATATGATCTTACGATGGGGGATTTCTCACAAACAGCGACCCATAAATCTATTCTTCTTTCATAATTTGAAGTAGCTGCACTGAGGGTGAATGTGATAGACACTTACACCTTGCACACAACCATGATATCACCTTCACCCACACTCTTACTTTTTTCAGTTCCCCAACAAAATTGGAGTCATTCAACCAGACAGTTAAAACAGTTTGTTTTAGTGTAAAATTAAACAATAACTTCTGTTACTGTGCTAATCATTATTTCTCTGTCTTTCAGTAACATGACTAGTGGGTGGGGGCAGGACTTCCTGCTTCCTGAAGGCTCCTCTTTAGACCAGACCAAATGCTCTGATGTCATGGGGGAAGGGGGGGGGGCTGCATTAGGTCGGTTCACTGAGTTCACACCTTAGCTTTTCTCATGTTCAGTAGAGTTATGTTCAGTTATAGTTTCACTTTTAAAGCTAAGAAATTTGGGGTTTGTACATTTTGTATTCATCTTTGAGTAAAATAAAAACTCCTGTTGTCTCTTGCCTAGCTTCTTGGTCCTTAACAGTCACATTAAATCAGTATAACTTTACATTTATCTTATAGAGAAACAAGCTGCTTGATCCTTTATAAACATGTTTGATCATAGCACTCTGCACTTTATTTGGCACTCTGCGATTGATTGAACTTGCTATTGAAATCCCAACATGTAATCATGTTATGTTTTAATGATGTATTTTAATTTGTTTTTTTTTATGGTTTTTGTTTTCATGTGCACTCCTGTATTATGATTTTGATGCCCTTTGTCACTAACATTGTGTTTTTATGCCGAAGCAACATTACAAAAAAAGGCAACACGTCTTCTGATTGAATTGTTGCCCTGACGATGACCTGAAAGACCAAAATGTCTCGTGGTTACTCCCATGAAAAAAGAAATTAAAAAAAATGTTCCACCAGGAGTTTACCTTTCAGGATGAAGACGCATGCTTCACCAGAGTTGTGTTCTTGGTTGCAGATGGACGGAACAAATAGATTGGCTTTGTCTGAGCGGACATCACACAAGCTCCACTTCAAACTTCTCACAAAGTCTTTAGCGTCCGAGTTTAAAGACCTGTTATATTTGTACACAGTGATGATGCGTTTTGTGGGCGGAGTCAAAATGGTGTCAGAAAGTCAGCTAGTGGTGTTGAATTAACTGTTTGTTTGTTTGTTTTCTGGCTTCTTGCCTTCACTTGATAAGACGGTGTATAGAGTAGTAAACAGGAAAGAGAGAGGGGGAATAACGTGGTAATGGAACCCAGACCCGTCCACCCAGAGGACCAGAGCTTTCTCACATTCGGGGCAACCCAACCAGGAGGTCAGCTGTGCTCATGAATTAACAATTAGTTCTTCGGCAGATGTTCAGCAGAAGCAGCTTTTGAAGACCCTTGTTTACTATCACAATGACGTTAATCATCCTACTACGACGCTCGAATGGCCGATTATGATACAATTTGTCAATGTCTTCAGACACATTCACGTTGTTATGGAAGAGTTTGTGGAGTCACAGAGTACATTTAAAGACATGAATATTATTTTCACCATCTATTTGTAATAAATATTCAAATTAATCAAAGTACGTTGTTGGTGTATCTCTGTTAAAAGGTCAAGCAGATCTAAGAAAGGTTGAGCCCAACAGGAGCCACAAAAAAGTGATAAGATTGATGACAAAATTCAACAGAAATTCTAATTGATTCTATGAGAACCTTTATTCAAGGTTGTCATTTTTTACACAGTTTGGGTAAAATGTGGTCAAATCTAAGTTGGGCAACCTCAGAGCAGAAAGAGCCTTGCCTTCCACATGATACTGAGGCTCCTGTTTGTTAAATGAATAAATTGTTAAATTGCCAATGTGTCTTGTTTCTTCAGATTTTAATCATCCAATCCAATAAACGAATAAGCTGTTTTTTCATGTTTTTTCAAGTTTTTGAATTTTCATACTCAGCTCTGCTACTCATCTCACATTGCATGTTCCTTACAAATGTGGCACCAGTTAAAAGGGAAATAAACAGTCTTTCCAAAGTTACAAGATTTATTGCCAAGAAGCATTGTTCCAACAAAGAAATAAATCTACCAAACACAAATGTCCTTACTTTTTGTTCGATGTTTATGTCAACATTACAAAATTATTTTTTTGTTCCTCTGGTCTTAGGCCTGTTACATCCTAGATGTATTAAGAGCAGAATAGGTGCAGAAGTCAGAAGTCTGCGGTTCCTTCTTCTTCTTTGGTCTCTTTGATTTCTGACGGATTTCCACAGCAGCATAGCACACATCGTCATCCTAAGATTGAAATATTTGTCATTTAGAAGCCCAACCTTGAACATATTTAATGCTTTGATACATTACACTTTAATGATAGATACCTGGCTCTGTCTTGGATGACCTCTAGTGTCAGGTCTTTGCTGATCAACAGGATGTTCTTCAGCTGCAGGAATAAATATAACATCAGTACAGCACAATGAAACTCACACAGTGGAAGAGACTTAAGGTGTCTTTGTGATTAAAACACTTAAGTGGATACATATTCTAGAAAAAGTGAGGTAGTTACCCTTCTTACAGCAGTGATAGACCACAAGTGAGGAGAGGAGAGCGGAGACAATAGATACAACTGGACACAGACAGAAGATCAGAATCCAGCACTCATTACAGTCCTGAGCATCTTGGGGGGAGGAGTCTCATTCGGTTCTGCATCTAAATGAAAGTTGTGTTGATTACGTTCATTTAACTCTGATCTACAGAAAAATTCCTAAAAAGTTGGGACATGTAGAATCTAAAAAACATTGAATCCCCATATTTCAATGAAAATTGCTCAAAGACAACGTAAATTGTTGAAACTGTGATATTTTATTGTTTTTGGAAAATGAAATGCCCAGTTTGAATTTGATGCCAACAACATGATTCAAAAAAGTTAGGATGGTGTCAAGGAAAATTATGGGGACACGTCGGACAAAAGCACCAAATTTTTTTCCACATAGTCTCCATCACAATAGCTTTCAATTTTCACTTTGCACTTCATCAAGTTGGCGGTTCTAATATGGCGGCCATGTAAAGTCTATAAGTGCCAATATGTCTTCCAAGCCACTTAGAAAGTCAATCTTGGTGTCAATATATACATTTTCTGGGTAGAGGAATGCATTAAAATATGTGGAAAAATGTGGTGCTCTTGTCCGATGTGTCTCCAGTCTTCCCAAATCTGGTTCTAAGCTGCCTGACTAAAAGGCTGAAAAATGGTAAAAAAAAACCCAAAAAAGAACGAGGTTAACTGGCAACAAGTTTCCAGCTTGTCTCCTCCCGCCTCAACCAAAGCCAGCAAGAGTCACGGTCTCGCCATGCAAGAAGGCGTCAACCATCCATAACTCAAGTAGTGTAGTCAATCAATCAATTTTTATTTGTATAGCGTCAACAAGTGTTATCTCGAGACACTTTGCTAAAAGCAGGTAAAAGACCTTACTCATTGTTATGGTTGTTCTGGCAGGCCGTCAACCAACGATCTCGAGGAGCCTAACCCCCAATTCACACATACACGCCACGGTCTGTCAGTCAGTCAATACGATCGTGAGTCCATATATTGTGTTTTATTTTGAAATTGACCGGATGCTCTGTGCGTTTCCTTGTCTGACTTCCTGTCCATACTGATAGTCATATTCTGTCCAACTTGATGCGTGCCTGCAGCGTACTCCAGCGAAAACAGACTCGCTGAGTATTTGAAAGGGAGCAGAGGGTAGTGCCGTTGGTGGCACGTGCCGGAGACGGACCGCAGCGCGCCCTGTGTGAACACAACGATAGACTACTGTGGCAGCTAAGTAACGTAGTGCGCGGCGCTGACGGACCGCGGCGCACACGGAGTATGTGTGAATTGGAGGGTAAGAGAGCTCAAGAGCTCCCAGGAAAATAGGTGGTTAGTGACTGAGATTTACAGATAGATACATGCAGTAATATGATGTACTGTATATGCACAGTGAGAGAGAGAGAGAGGAGCTCAAGGTGCCAGTTCCCCCGGTAGTCTAAGTCTATAGCAGCACAACTAGGAGCTGGTCTACACCACAATACACAAGTTTATTCTTAAAAATACAGACTGTGTCTGCCTCCCGGACTCCGGCTGGAAGATGATTCCAGAGGAGAGGAGCCTGATAACTGAAGGCTTTACCTCCCATAGTACATTTAGAGACTGTAGGTACCACTAGCAGGCCCGCATTCTGGGACCGTAGTGTTCTCGAGGGGCAGTACGGCACTAGTAGCTCCTTAAGATAAGATGGTGCCTGGTCATTTAGAGCTTTGTAAGTGAGAAGAAGGATCTTGAACTCTATTCTAGATTGTATAGGGAGCCAGTGCAGAGAAGCCAACACAGGAGTAATGTGGTCCCTTTTCCTAGTTCTAGTCAGTACACGAGCTGCAGCGTTCTGGACTAGTTGAAGAGTCTTTAGAGACTTACCAGAGCACCCTGACAAAAGAGAATTACAATAATCCAACCTGGAGGTAACAAATGCATGAACTAGTTTTTCTGCATTATTTTGCGACAGGATCTGCCTGATCTTAGATAAGTCCAGGCCAGAGAACCCGAAAGGGTATGTTCTTTGGCTGCTAGGTCCGTGCGAGCCGACTCTAGTTTTGCTAAGAGTCATCGAGCGAGAGAAGAGGGCCGTGGTAGGGTAGACCGAAAATATCAGAAAATAGTTTATTATTATTAAATAAATAATTACTATAAGTCTGATTGATCTAATTATAAACACACTAGTGTACAGATTGAACTACTGTTGATGTAGCACGTAGCAGCCACGTTCAGTTTGTATGCTCCCTAAATCTGGAACAAACTCCCAGAAAACTGCAGGTCTGCTGAAACTCTCGAGGTTGCAGACACACCTGTTTACAGCTGCCTTTCAATAAACAATTTGAATGAGATTTGAAATCTTAACTCTGCACTGCAACTTATAACTCTTTTTATATTTTTACTTTATTTATTTCAATTAATTTCATTTGAATTATTTTTATTTGAACGTATTTTCAGATTTAATAATTTCAGTCATTTTTAAATTTCCTCTTTTAATGTTTCTCTTCTTTCCTCTGTCATGATGCTTTTGATGTTTTGTGTGAAGCACTTTGAATTGTTGTTGAAATGTGCTCTATAAATAAACTTGCCTTGCCCTGTAAGAAAGAGTCTCAGTGCTAAACTGGCACTTCCTGCAGTCCTGACTTGTCACCCATTAAAAGTGTTTTTGAGCTTTATGAAAGGTGTAAAAGGAGTCCTTGAACTGTTGAACATTTTAAATCCTACATTAAGCAAGAATGGTAAAACATTACCCTCTTAAAGTTACAGAAACTGGTCTCCTGTGTTGTTTAAAGAAAAGTGTGATGCAACAGAGCGGTACACATGACCCTGTCCCAACTTTTGAAAAGTGTTGCTGGCATTAAATTCAAAACGGCGTATCATTTTCTGTAAACATTTTCTGTTTTCTTGTGCTTATTTCAAAATGAATTCAGGGTTTCAATATTTTTAAATTCATCACAATCAGTTTGTTTACTTTTGACAACTTTTTGACCAAAAAACAACATCTTGAGAAAGTCAATGTTCTTAATTAATTTTTTTAGTATTTAACTTTGCAGACAGTTGAGTCTTTCTGAATGTATGTATATATGTGTGTGTGTGTGTGTGTGTGTGTGTGTGTGTGTGTGTGTGTGTGTGTGTGTGTGTGTGTTCACACCTCTTCTTTTTTCACTACTCAAATACCTCCTGATCGTCCATTTATTTAAGCTATATTAATTACATTTCAGTTAATAGTATTTCTGCCACTTGTCTTTCGAGTTAGTTGTAGTCATATTGGTCATTGATGATCTGGTGATCATCATCCTGTACAACACTTTCTTTGCGAATTAATCGTTCATTTGACAAAAGTATGAATGTGTTGTCTGATGATCTTAGCGGATGATGTTTATGGTCTGACATCATTATTTCAGAGAATGATTTAGTTGCATTATTCAAATTATTGAATCCACTGAAATCACAGTCACACAAAGACAGAGCGTACTTACTGAATATGATTCTTCTTGTGATGTTGCTGTAGCTGTAGTAAATATATCTAGAAGTTATGTGTTCCTTATCCTCCACTTTTTATTCTTCAGTTCCACAGTAGTAAAGACCTTCATCTGACTCAGTGATGTTCAGGATCAGCAGGTCGTAGGAGTCAGAGGACTGGTTCTTCACAAAGTGGAAATTAGGAGGAAGATTTTCTGTCCAGGAACCCGTGTTACGTTTCAGAACGAGTGAAGGCTGGTTCTCATGAGAACAGTTCCTGTACCACACGATGTAAACTCCAGTTGATGTTTTACAGTCACAGTAGAGAGTGATGTTGTCTCCTGGTCTGACCGTCACCTTCAACTCTGATCCACAAACTCAGTCTGATCTTTAGGAAACCACTGCTGGAATTCAAACAAGATCATAACAGCAGTTTAAAATGTGCACAGCTATACAGGAAGACAAAATGACAAGGGCACTAGAACGTTAGTATTCTTCTTTTAATGTAAAAACATCCTTGTATTAAATCATCCAAACTGTTAATCAAAAGAATTACCTGAGACCAGGAGCAGAACAACGTGACGGCCCTCCATGAGTGACGAGGTCTGAGATGTGAAGACAGAGACACAGGTCTCACTGACATCACACCCATGTAGATGTTTCCATTAAAGGAAGCAGACGCTGTGATTGGCCAGTGAGGTGGAACATTTTTTTTTCTTTTTTTTTGCAGATTCCACCCAATGTGACATTTTGGACTTTGATGTCTTATTCTCTCATTGTGTCTTTACCTAACATCCTCTATTAACTTTTAATGCTTTTATTTATCTTCATTTAATTGCTCTTATTACGTCTTCAGTTCTTGCACGGATTACAAGACTCCATGGACGGTCAGAAGACGTTCAGAATAACTTAGAAGCAACTTCTAATGAGACAAGTGTTGTTTAAGATGATGTTACATTAGCAGATGTGTTTTCTTGATGACAGTGCAACCATGTCTGGTTTTGAATGTTGGTTTAGGCAGGAACCTGTTCTCCCCTCTTTCCAGTACTGCGTACTGCCACTACATGTTTTAAATTTAGACATGAGAATGCAGATGAAAACCCCACTGAACATGTGCTACACTCTGCTTCATAAGTGCAACCAGAGCTGACCTTATTTGATCTCACAAAGGTGGGACGTGGTCACCCATATGACATAGATTCAGATATATTGATTGACTGATAGAACGTTATTGTCAGAGAGAACTCTCAATAATGTTTTGCATATCTCAGCGGCTCCATTTGGAATATAAAAATTAAAGACAAGATACAAATATGCAAACATTTGACCCAACATTCAAACACCAAACAAGTATTCAGAAGCCTTTAATGTGCTTTGATCTGAGATTATTCTCCATATTTCATTTTAGGATTGACTACTGTATGAAAGAGTGCACCGTTCATTCCTTAAAACTGACTGGTGCACTCCTGCATGTGTAACAGAGTTAGAATCTACCTCTATGTTGAATTTTTACAAAACAGATAAGGCTGTCGCTACATGGTGGTTTAATAGAGCAACTGTGAGCTGTATTGGTCGGGCCACTAGCTGTTCACACGTAGCTCAGCAATGGAAAACTCTCCCCAGCTGAAGATGTGAGTCCTTTGAATTTGCATGAAACAGTACTGATTACTGTGTTCTGTTGATTTAAACACCAGAATAAAAAAGTGAACCAGAGTGAGAGCAACTCCTGTGTAGTTGCTTGTCTAGAAGTATCTTTGGTGTCTGCAGAGCAGTTGAATGTCCAACTGAGGTTTTGCTTGACTTTAGACACCCAGACACACAACACCTCAACAAAGGGTGTGGAGCAGACTTGTTTTCTGCAGCACAGTGTCAAGTTAGACGAGTGTCTGTTCATCGCTTTGGGTTTCCTGTGAACTAATTTGATCGTTCTTGGAAATGTGTGGTGGAGAAAACAAGAAATTGCATGTAAACTCAGAGGGGCTCAGAGTCCAGACAGAAAAAAGGGACCACTCTGATACTCAAGGGTTCAAGGTCAAACTTATTGATTTGAAGGTTTTACTATACCAAAAGTGAAAAACATAGTGACCACTTTTGTCAGTGATGTGTGTGTGTGTGTGTGTGTGTGTGTGTGTGTGTGTGTGTGTGTGTGTGTGTGTGTGAGAGAGAGAGAGAGAGAGAGAGTGTATGATGGAAACAAGGTGTGGTTGTTGCTGCTCTGACACAGGAAAGACAAACCACAAATAAGCCACCAACAGAATGGGAGGCGTTGTGACAACATTACAATCATACAATAAGTTATTTTGAAGTTCATCAGTAATGTTCAAAATATATATTACATATAAGTCATCAACAGAAGACAGACGAAACATGGTGCCACATTATCCATTTGAAAACCTCTGAATTTCTCATCTCATTGGGAACTCATCATTTGTTGTTGTTTTCTAGCCACAACACAAACTTTTTTATTGAACCAGGATTCATGCAGTCATGCACATAACCCTTCCACACATCGTGCTCACTGCAGTGGACAGCTATTCAGAAGCCTTTATCCACTAAGTTCATAGAGTTTGATAGATTGGTTTCACATCAGCCACTTCAGCAGACGTTGGTAAGTCAATCCATACACTGCCACCCACTGGCCAGCAGTTGTAAGTGCACCAGAAATTTCTCAGAATCAAGATGGCTGACAGAAGGTTAGAAATGGGTTTTCTTTTGAGATCCTTAGTATAGAAATGTTGACGGCCTCAGTGTTGGCCTCTCTACCTGTTTGTTCTCTCTTTTGCTTGCTGTGTTCTCCTTGTTGCAGGTAGATGTGGGTGGAGTCTGAGACGACTCTGTAATGCAGCACACCTGAGCATGCTGGTTTCAGGATGCTATAAAGCAGACCTGCTCAGTCCTCTCAACTCTTCCCTGGCCACCAGTCTGCCGTCAGCATTTGTTTGTATTGTAATGTGTTGTAGACATATACTCATTCATCCACACACACACACACACACACACACACACACACACACACACACACACGCACGCACGCGCACGCGCACGCACACGCACACACATAACATTACTGACAAAAGTATAGTAAAACCTTCAAATAGATAAGTTTGACCTTGAACCCTTGAGTATCAGAGTGGTCCCTTTTTCTGTCTGGACTCTGAGCCCAACATGTCTTCCCTTCTTCCAGCATCTTATCCCATCGCCCACTATCCTGTTTTCAAGCATGGCACAGTTTCGGTGGATGGCTGTTCTTCATGAGCCTGGATTTGCTCAAGATTTCTGCCTATTAAAAGAAAGTTTTCTTGCAACCGTAACTTTTGCTAAAATGTTGCTAAAGTGCTACGCTAATGATGGATTAACATTGGGACTTAGTTTGTAATATAGCAATGAGTAATGTCTTTTACCAACTTTTTGTAAAGTGTCTGGAGATAACACTTGTTATGAATTGGCGCTATGCAAAGAAAGATTGAACTTTTCTGCCAGTCATTTATTTGACAGTCTATAATTTAAATGTTTCTGGCACTTAAATAGTAACAGCTTTATATTCATATTTCTTCATTGAAATGGATCCATAACTTTTCATTATAGTAGTGAGTGTTGTTTCACGTGAGCTGTTTTCAGGCAATTTCTTGTTTTTATCTCAAGTTATCCATCTGACTGTATACACTCCACAGCACGATTCCAAGAACGATCAGATAGATTCACAGTTAACCGAAAGTGACGAACAGACCCTCATGCAACTTCACACACTCTGCTGAAGAAAACAAGTCTGCTCAACCCCTTTGAAGTGTGTGGTGTCTAAAGTCAAGCAAAACCTCAGGTGGATATTCAACTGCTCTGCAGCCACCACAGCTACTTCTAAACACGCTATTAGACATGGGTGACTGGTTGTGTCTCTCTGCATGTCTTGTTGAAGGAAGCCACAACTACACAGGAGTTGCTCTCACTCTGGTTCACTTTTTTATTCTGGTGTTTAAATCAACAGAACACAGTAATCAGTACTGTTTCATGCAAATTCAAAGGACTCACATCTTCAGCTGGGGAGAGTTTTCCATTGCTGAGCTACGTGTGAACAGCTAGTGGCCCGACCAATACAGCTCACAGTTGCTCTATTAAACCACCATGTAGCGACAGCCTTATCTGTTTGTAAAAATTCAACATAGAGGTAGATTCTAACTCTGTTACACATGCAGGAGTGCACCAGTCAGTTTTAAGGAATGAACGGTGAACTCTTTACTACACCAGTCAATCCTTAAATTAAAAATGGAGAATAATCTCAGATCAAAGCACATTAAAGGCTTCTGAATACTTGTTTAGTGTTTGAATGTTGGGTCAAATGTTTGCATATTTGTATCTTGTCTTTAATTTTTATATTCCAAATGGAGCCGCTGAGATATGCAAAACATTATTGAGAGTGTTCTCTGACAATAACGTTCTATCAGTCAATCAATATATCTGAATCTATGTCATATGGGTGACCACGTCCCACCTTTGTGAGATCAAATGAGGTCAGCTCTGGTTGCACTTATGAAGCAGAGTGTAGCACATGTTCAGTGGGGTTTTCGTCTGCATTCTCATGTCTAAATTTAAAACATGTAGTGGCAGAACGCAGTACTGGAAAGAGGGGAGAACAGGTTCCTGCCTAAACCAACATTCAAAACCAGACATGGTCGCACTTTAATCAAGAAAACACATCTGCTAATGTCACATCATCTTAAACAACACTTGTCTCATTAGAAGTTGCTTCTAAGTTATTCTGAACGTCTTCTGACCGTCCATGGTGTCTTGTAATCCGTGCAAGAAATAAAGACGTAATAAGAGCAATTAAATGAAAATAAATAAAAGCATTAAAAGTTAATTGAAGGAAGTGTGAGGATTCATTTCCCCTCTTTGGTTGTTGTATGTACGGAGTTTATAATACACAAGGGAAGACATGTTGGGCTCAGAGTCCAGACCGAAAAAGGGACCACTCTGATACTCAAGGGTTCAAGGTCAAACTTATCTATTTGAAGGTTTTACTATACTTTTGTCAGTAATGTTGTGTGTGTGTGTATGTGTGTGTGTGTGTGTGTGTGTGTGTGTGTGTGTGTGTGTGTGTGTGTGTGTGTGTGTGTGTGTGTGTGTGGATGAATGAGTATATGTCTACAACACATTACAATACAAACAAATGCTGACGGCAGACTGGTGGCCAGGGAAGAGTTGAGAGGACTGAGCAGGTCTGCTTTATAGCATCCTGAAACCAGCATGCTCAGGTGTGCTGCATTACAGAGTCGTCTCAGACTCCACCCACATCTACCTGCAACAAGGAGAACACAGCAAGCAAAAGAGAGAACAAACAGGTAGAGAGGCCAACACTGAGGCCGTCAACATTTCTATACTAAGGATCTCAAAAGAAAACCATTTCTAACCTTCTGTCAGCCATCTTGATTCTGAGAAATTTCTGGTGCACTTACAACTGCTGGCCAGTGGGTGGCAGTGTATGGATTGACTTACCAACGTCTGCTGAAGTGGCTGATGTGAAACCAATCTATCAAACTCTATGAACTTAGTGGATAAAGGCTTCTGAATAGCTGTCCACTGCAGTGAGCACGATGTGTGGAAGGGTTATGTGCATGACTGCATGAATCCTGGTTCAATAAAAAAAGTTTGTGTTGTGGCTAGAAAACAACAACAAATGATGAGTTCCCAATGAGATGAGAAATTCAGAGGTTTTCAAATGGATAATGTGGCACCATGTTTCGTCTGTCTTCTGTTGATGACTTATATGTAATATATATTTTGAACATTACTGATGAACTTCAAAATAACTTATTGTATAATTGTAATGTTGTCACAACGCCTCCCATTCTGTTGGTGGCTTATTTGTGGTTTGTCTTGTACCTTTTCCTGTGTCAGAGCAGCAACAACCACACTTTGTTTCCATCATACAATCTCTCTCTCTCACACACACACACACACACACACACACACACACACACACACACACACACACACACACACACACACACTCTGACTCCTACGACCTGCTGATCTTGAACATCACTGAGTCAGATGACGGTCTTTACTACTGTGGAACTGAAGAACAAAAAGTGGAGGATAAGGAGCAAATAACTTCTAAATATATTTATATCTACAGCAACATCACAACAAGAATCATATTCAGTAAGTACGCTCTGTCTTTGTGTGACTGTGATTTCAGTGGATTCAATCATTTGAATAATACATAAAATCATTCACTGAATTAATGATGTCAGACCATAAACATCATCCGCTAAGATCATCAGACAACACATTCATACTTTTGTAAAATGAATGATTAATTTGCGAAGAAAGTGTTGTACAGGATGATGATCACCAGATCATCAATGACCAATATGACTACAACTAACTCGAAACAGAAGTGGCAGAAATTCTATTAAGAAGTGAAAAAAGAAGAGGTGTGAACACACACACACACACACACACACACACACACACACACACACACACACACACAAATATATATATACATACATTCAGAAAGACTCAACCTGTCTGCAAAGTTAAATACTACAAAAAATTAAATTAAGAACATTGACTTTCTCATGTTATAGTTTTTTTGGGCAAAAAGTTTGCACGTTGTGTTAAAAAGTAAATCAAACAAAATGTGATGAATCTAAAAATATTAAAACCCTGAATTGATTTGAAATAAGCACAAGAAAACAGAAAATGTTTACAGAAAATTATACGCCGTTTTGAATTTAATGCTAGCAACACTTTTCAAAAGTCAGGACAGGGTCATGTGTACCGCTCTGTTGCATCACACTTTTCTTTAAACAACACTTTAAAGCGTTTTGGGAACTGAGGAGACCAGTTTCTGTCACTTTAAGAGTGTAATGTTTTACCATTCTTGCTTAATGTAGGATTTAAAATCCTCAACAGTTTAAGGACTCCTTTTACACCTTTCATAAAGTTAAAAAACACTTTCAATGGTGACGGGACTGCAGTGCCAGTTTAGCACCTGGACTCTTTCTTACAGGGACATACTGTCGTAAAATGTCCAGAACATAGTTTGGGATTGTGTTGCTGAAACACGTAAGAAAAGAAGTTCTCTATTTGGCAGCACATGTAGCTCTTACTCCTGTATACATGGTTCAGCATTAATGGTGCCTTCATAAAATGTTCATGTTACTCGTGCCATGTGCAGTAATGGTGCGTTCTATTTGATCTTGGAAGTCAGGAACTCCCAGTTGCTCATTTGAAACTTCATCAGGAGCGCCCCCCCTGTAGTCAGAATTTCTACTTAGAAACCCAGAGACGTTTCATAATCCCGAGTTAAAATCCAACATGGTTGCTAGGTGCATCAATAGTAGTTCAATTTGTACACTAGTGTGTTTATAATTAGGTCAATCACACACACAGTATTGTTGGGGTTTTGCAGAGCTAATATGTGAACAACAATTATGTTTAGATAGTCAAAATTTGATTATCAAATTAATATTAATATGTTTTCTTAATGAATAATTGATATAAATTAACAATGTTATTAAACTGAGTTGATCAGAATGGGGCACCACCCTAAAATCAGGGGAAAATAACAAAATGATCACAAATTCAGTCATGAATTAATTAATTAACTACTAATATTATTAATAAATAACAACCTGTAATTCATAAATTGAAGGCTTGAATTCTGTACACAAAGCCCTTGCACCCTGCTGTATTACAATGATTATACACAAGTAATCACAAACAACTGCTTTCTTAAATTGTAATAGAGTTTATTTAATTAAAGCCACATCAATCCAAAATCAATACAACTCAATCAACAACACACTTGTGTGTGTGTGTGTGTGTGTGGGTGTATGTGTCTGTGTGTGTGTGTGTGTGTGTGTTTGCGTGTGTGTGTGTGGACGAGAGAAAGAGAGAGAGAGAGAGAGAGAGGGAAAGATGGCGGCATCCTGTAAGATGGCGGACACTTAACAGAGTAGTCTTCTGGCGTGGTCTATTGTCTACACAGGCAGGACTGAGTTAAGGTTGGTCTCAGCACGATCTATGTCTCTGAGGTGTTTGAACGACTACGAGTGTACAGATCTATATGTGTTAGCGTGTGTATGTGTGTTGGGGGAGGCAGCAGAAAGAGCCTCTTGCTGGCTTTGTTTCAGGCAGGAGGAGACGAGCTGGAAACTTGTTGACAGTTAACCTTGGGTGTTTTTTTGTTAATCATTTTCCAGCCTTTTCTTTCCACCTTCCCAATTTTTTTGAAACATGTCGTTTGCATCAAATTGGGCATATACTTTTCCAAAAACAATAAAATATCCCAGTTTCAACAATTCACGTTGTCTTTGTGCTATTTTCATTCAAATATGGGGTTTCAATGTTTTTTTAGATTCTACATATGTCCCAACTTTTTAGGAATTGTGTTTGTAGATCAGAGTTAAATGAATTTAATCAACACAGCTTTTTACACAACTCATTTAGATGCAGAACCGAATGCGACCTCTTGCCCCAAGATGCTTCAGGACTGTAATGAGTGCTGGATTCTGATCTTCTGTCTGTGTCCAGTTGTATCTATTGTCTCCTCTCTCCTCTCCTCACTTGTGGTCTATCACTGCTGTAAGAAGGGTAACTACCTCACTTTTTCTAGAATATGTATCCACATGTTTGTTTTTAATCACAAAGACACCTTAATGTCTCTTCCACTGTGTCAGTTTCATTGTGCTGTACTGATGTTATATTTATTCCTGCAGCTGAAGAACATCCTGTTGATCAGCAAAGACCTGACACTAGAGGTCATCCAAGACAGAGCCAGGTATCTATCACTAAAGTGTAATGTATCAAAGCATTAAATATGTTCAAGTTTGGGCTTCTAAATGACAAATATTCAATCTTAGGATGACGATGTGTGCTATGCTGCTGTGGAAATCCGTCAGAAATCAAAGAGACCAAAGAAGAAGAAGGAACCGCAGACTTCTGACTTCTGCACCTATTCTGCTCTTAATACATCTAAGATGTAACAGGCCTAAGACCAGAGGAACAAAAAAAATGAATTTTATATGTTGATATATATAGACCATTCTGTCATTGCATAGTTCAAACATTGCTGGCTGTATTAACCACAACATTCATCACGGAAAATATGCGTCATGTGGTCTTATTTCCTTGCGCCACTGAGATGACTTTTGAAAATTAAAGGAGCGTAAAAATCAGAAATGAAGAACAATCTCATAAGTGTTTGTCGTGGTTGATTACACTTCATCTTCAGAATCTTTATATTCTTAATTGAGATCAATTTCATAAAGTTTGTAATGGCTGCTGGTCTGAATCTAGACTGTTCTCTGGCAATTTCCTGTTTTTATCTCAAGCTAACGATCAACCATGCTGCTTTGCCTGTGCAGTCTGATGCAATACAAGTATCAATTATGTTGGAGCTGATTCTGTTAAAGATACTAAAACCTTTATCCTCTTTTTTGTGTAGAGGGAATACATACAAAAGCTCGCAACACAAGACAGATACTGTAACATTTTCTTATAGCTTCTTCAAGACCCTGACCCAATGTTTGCAAGACATCCCATGAAAACAAAGAGTAAACAACAAAGTCAACTTATAACACATGATGTAGCACCCTGGCATCAGTCCGGCTCACAGGAAACCCACACTGACAAAAAAGCCCCTCATACGACGGCACAGCTCATCACACAGGCACACTGAAGCTGCAGGTTAGTTCACAGCTTCGTTGTCAAGGTTCACACTTTATGGTGGCAAGACAGATAGTGACTGAAGAAAGACCCAAGCACATGCGCACAAAGCATAACCAGCCAAGGGTGCAAAAAAAGAGTGTGAGTCTGACACTGTCTCTGAGAACGATCAGTAAGTATAAAGTACTAAAGCTTTTTCATTAAAGAGCCGTAACTAAGCTCAACCTTCATCACGTCTTTGTGCATTCATATTGATTTTGTGACAGCGTGATATTGGAGTGCCAGTCTGTGAATTCACTTTTCTTTTCGGCGTTGCAGAAGCACAGCACAACAGGAGCTTCACATACACACACAGTCAGACATGCACACACACACACACACACACACACACACACACACACACAGCGCCGTGCCTCCCCGCTGGCTCCGCTGATCCTGTCTCAGCTATGTAACGCCTCTGTTACTCCCTCCAAAGATGGTACAGAGGGTGGATCACTTCGCCCCCCCCATTGCACCTCCGCAACATTCAGATTGAAAGCAACGTCACAGGGGCGTAAATGTAGCAGTCTGAACAGAGCTTAAAGGCAGGGTTGGTCATTTTCAAAAACTAGCCTGATTTTGAAAGTAGCATCCGTCTACACCCACCCCCCTCCTCTGTGCTCCCTCAAAAGCCACGCCCCTCACTTACATGCACGAGCGCCGTTGCTCCAGAAGCGGACCTCAGCTCATCGCTTGCATTGTGAAGAAACTACATTTAGAGGTAAGTAAACACTAAACTTTATCAAAATATCTATTTTTAAAAAACCTGACTATTTTACTACTCACAACAACGGCCAACAACAAACTCACAGTATAAACTCCGTCATCGGTGACACGCTTTGAGTGTGGGCTAGTGCACACAAAGAGTATAGAACGAGCAGGGAGACAGGGAGACAGTGAGACGTGATTGGTTCATCAGATGGGTACCTTTTTTTACAGGCTTCATTTGTCAGGACCGAAAGACAATTTCAACCAAAATCTTAAAAAGTGTATCTGGATAAAATGACCAACCCTGCCTTTACGTCCATGTTTTATACAGTCTATGGTTGTTGCTGAGCAGACCTCAAAAAACGAGGGCCAAATCCTCTAAAATAAGGCAGTAAAATCAGAATTTTCTTAATGCTATTTTGACATTAATAAATGTACTTTTTGTTTTTCAGGGGATTTTTGCGCACACAAAAAACCACTAGCTTATAGTAGAGAATAGGTTTTTCATCCTCTAATAGGAAATTGATGACAAAAGAGTGTCAATGATATGACAATAACATAATTTCGTTTCAAAATAGACGATAATGCCTGCTGCCCTCATTCAGGTTTTGTTGGTTGGTTTCCGTTGATTTAATTCGTTGTTGTTGCATCATACATCTGTCACAAAACAACCGCAGAGGAAAATGTTCCATTCAATGAGCCAATCACAGGTCACATTTCTTTGAAGGGAAATGTGTGCACAGGTCATAAATTTACTGTTTCACTACCTCTCACCTCCTGGTTGTCGTCAACACATGGACAGGCTGTGCTTTTTGCTTGCTGTCATCTTGGGTAATTTTTTTGTTAGATTACGTTTTATCTGCTGTGCTATGAAATCATTCCCTATTTTTGACTTGTTTTTCTGCATTTGTATTCCAGGAGTTTTTTCCTGCAACCGTGATGGGATTTGTGGATCAGTGTTGGAGGAGATCAAATAAGGTCAGCTCTGGTTGCATTTATGAAGCAGAGTGTAGCACATGTTCAGTGGGGTTTTCGTCTGCATTCTCATGTCTAAATTTAAAACATCTAGTGGCAGTACGCAGTACTGGAAAGAGGGGAGAACAGGTTCCTGCCTAAACCAACATTCAAAACCAGACATGGTCGCACTTTAATCAAGAAAACACATCTGCTAATGTAACGTCATCTTAAACAACACTTGTCTCCTTAGAAGTTGCTATTCTGAAGGGCTTCTGACCGTCCATGGAGTCTTGTAATCCGTGCTAGGTGGAGCCCAGCTTCCGTTCATTACTGCTAGTTAACGTGAGCACGAGCTTCGGTCAATGTGCTGCAGCTGACTGATAAACAATGCTGCAGAGTTTTGGCAGCCAGAAGTTTGTTGCAAAATCTCCCAAGTGAAATGTGTAGCAGAGGAAGATGTGATGATTCATTATCATATGTGTTATTCCAACAAAACATACTTTAAAAAAACATGCTGACTAATCGTTTACAGATTAGGAAAAGGACAACAACAAAGATACTCAAGCAACATGATTAACCTGAACATCATTTGAACCCAAGTAACACAAGAACCCAACAACATGCGCTGAGACCCAAAGAATGACCACAAATGGAAGGTGAAGTAAGAAACTAAAAGAGACAGAAATTTTAAAAACAGATAATAGCAGTTAAATGAAAATAAATAAAAGCATTTAAAGTTAATAGAGGATGTTAGGGAAAGACACAATGAGAGAATAAGACATCAAAGTCTAAAATAGGTGGCATCTGCAAAAAAAAAAAAAAAAATGTTCCACCTCACTGACCAATCACAACGTCTGCTTCCTTTAATGGAAACATCTACATGGGTGTGATGTCAGTGAGACCTGTGTCTCTGTCTTCACATCTCAGACCTCGTCACTCATGGAGGGCCGTCACGTTGTTCTGCTCCTGGTCTCAGGTAATTCTTTTGATTAACAGTTTGGATGATTTAATACAAGGATGTTTTTACATTAAAAGAAGAATACTAACGTTCTAGTGCCCTTGTCATTTTGTCTTCCTGTATAGCCGTGCACATTTTAAACTGCTGTTATGATCTTGTTTGAATTCCAGCAGTGGTTTCCTTGAGTCCTGACTGTGTTTGTGGATCAGAGTTGAAGGTGACGGTCAGACCAGGAGACAACATCATTCTCTACTGTGACTGTAAAACATCAACTGGAGTTTACATCGTGTGGTACAGGAACTGTTCTCATGAGAACCAGCCTTCACTCGTTCTTAAAGTAAAGAATATACTGAAACAAAATCTTCCTCCTAATTTCCACTTCTTGAAGAACCAGTCCTCTGAATCCTACGACCTGCTGATCCTGAACATCACTGAGTCAGATGAAGGTCTTTACTACTGTGGAACTGAAGAACCAAAAGTGGAGGATAAGGAAAACATAACTTCTAGATATATTTACTACAGCTACAGCAACATCACAACAAGAATCATATTCAGTAAGTACGCTCTGTCTTTGTGTGACTGTGATTTCAGTGGATTCAATAATTTGAATATTACAAATAAATCATTCACTGAATTAATGATGTCAGACCATAAACATCATCCGCTAAGATCATCAGACAACACATTCATACTTTTGTAAAATGAATGATTAATTTGCAAAGAAAGTGTTGTACAGGATGATGATCACCAGATCATCAATGACCAATATGACTACAACTAACTCGAAAGACAAGTGGCAGAAATACTATTAACTGAAATGTAATTAATATAGCTGAAATAAATGGACGATCAGGAGGTATTTGAGTAGTGAAAAAAGAAGAGGTGTGAACACACACACACACATACACACACACACACACACACACACACACACACACACACACACATATATATATATATATATATATACATACATTCAGAAAGACTCAACTTGTCTGCAAAGTTAAATACTAAAAAAAAAAATTAAGAACATTGACTTTCTCAAGATGTTGTTTTTTTGGTCAAAAAGTTGTCAAAAGTAAACAAAACTGATTGTGATGAATTTAAAAATATTGAAACCCTGATTTTTAAAAAAAAATAATAATCACAAGAAAACATAAAATGTTTACAGAAAATGATACACCTATTTGAATTTAATGCCAGCAACACTTTTCAAAAGTTGGGACAGGGTCATGTGTACCGCTCTGTTGCATCACACTTTTCTTTAAACAACACAGGAGACCAGTTTCTGTAACTTTAAGAGGGTAATGTTTTACCATTCTTGCTTAATGTAGGATTTAAAATGTTCAACAGTTCAAGGACTCCTTTTACACCTTTCATACAGCTCAAAAACACTTTTAATGGGTGACAAGTCGGGACTGCAGGAAGTGCCAGTTTAGCACTGAGAGTCTTTCTTACAGGGCAAGGCAAGTTTATTTATAGAGCACATTTCAACAACAATTCAAAGTGCTTCACACAAAACATCAAAAGCATCATGACAGAGGAAAGAAGAGAAACATTAAAATAGGAAATTTAAAAATGACTGAAATTATTAAATCTGAAAATATGTTCAAATAAATATTATTCAAATGAAATTAATTGAAATAAATAAAGTAAAAATATAAAAAG